ACCAAATAGAACATATGTAGATCCCAAACTGCCCAAGAAGGGAATGTTAATTGTTAGATTCATAATCAATCACAATACCCCGAACTCGTCGCTGCCCATGTCCTAATACTTGTGATGATGGTTCATATATCACTGAGACATTCTCTGGTATCCGCATCTCCGGCGAGTGTCCAGAGATGCACATCGATCCTGACCCGTCTTGTTGCCAATACACTTCCACCATTATTCCTCTTGGATTCTCTGCGTTTTCTGTTCCAGGGATACCTACAAATCTTGCTCCCACAGGTATCTGAACATTGAGGTTAATTAGTTTGTGTCCATTAACTATAGCTTTATTAATTAATTCTCAATACTGCAGTGAAACTGATTATTTTGATGGACGTTGTAGATTTACCTCGACTGCGATGCCTGATTCTAACTCGAGAGTGACCATGGTTCCTTCAACAGTTGCGCTTTCTAGTTCAGCACGTCTAGCTATGTTCAAAAACACTTCTTCAAGAGTGGCAAGACCGAGCTGAATGTCTGAGATGCCAAATTCAGATTCTCTATCTTGTAGCTCCGCGAAAAACCCCTATTCTCGTTAGTTATGGAAAAATACCTCATTCATTCATCAGATGAAGAAGATCTAAAAGATATATAATCAAAGCTTTTGTAGATGGTTACCGTCAAAAGTTGCTCTTTGTCGTGTGGGATAACAAAAGTCATGAAAGCTTTGCTTTCTTCTGTTGGCTCAACTTTTAGATGCTGCAAAAGTTAGTTCAAGGCTCAGAGGCACTAGATTATTTACTAACTAAACAATGCTACTAAAAAACTTGAGTGTACATACATACATACCTCCTTAAAGAATCTTTTCAATGGCTCGGGTGAAGTACTTCTAGCACTGTCTTTTTTGTTTTCGGGGAAGCTAACCGTAGTAATAAAACCCGTTCCAAAGCGAGATTTTAACCTGATTGAGGTTCCAATGCAGCGGAGCCTGCCTTTAGCCATGATCCCTATTCGGTCACCTAAAATATCAGCTTCTTCCATAGAATGCGTCGTTAGTATGATTGCACGACCTTTCTTTGATTCTTGTATAATGTCCCACACATGTCTTCTCGTGATAGGGTCCATACCCGTTGTCTACAATCCACAAAAGCATAACTAAGATATAAAAAAAATTGATGTCTCTCTATATAAACTCACTTTTTACAGAGGAATGTTGCAAATTACGTACCGGTTCATCTAGAAAAACCAGCTTGGGATCACCAATGAGTGCTATTGCAACGCTTAGTCGACGTTTCATTCCACCACTGTAACTTCCTGCTCTAATTTTCGCCGCTTCTATTAGCTTTACATCTGCCAGTAACTTGACTGCAATCTATATAACGGAACAAACAAATTTAAAGAGAGATATGCTTAGCCAAAAGTTTGAATCAGATATTTGTAAAACACATGAATGAAGTAAATTTTATGTTACTCGGGTGATGTACCGATTTGATCGATGCTGGTGGTAACCCTTTGATGCTAGCAAAGAGGTGGAGGTGCTCTTCACTAGACAAAGCATCCCAAAGAATATCAAACTGTAAACAAAAGAGTGAAAAAGACAAAAACCATTTTAAGCATACTAATTATAGAAGATTGTTTTGTGTGATGAGGGCAATGAAGTAATAAATTAATTGACACTACCTGAGGACAAACTCCTATCATTTTACGAATGTTGGACATACCAACAGAGCTTCTTATGGAATTTCCGTAAATTATTGCTGTTTTAGTCAATCAAAATGGATCCTATTAGAATAGTTAATTTTTCCAAAATCTTGCTTCATTCAGACTGAAACAAAAAGATTTTCTTACCATCCCCACCAGTGACTGGATTTATGCCAGTCAAACAACTAATCGTAGTTGTTTTCCCAGCGCCATTGGGTCCAAGAAGACAAAACAACTGATCTTTGGCAATATTCAGCCACAAACCCTGAAAATTTTCCATGAATGTCACACATTTATCTCAGGTTACATGAGCTAGGAACAGCTTTGGCAAAAACCATACATTACCGGAAAGATTTTCGTTGTTTTCTTATCGGAAAATAACATACCTTTACAGCATGAAAAGGCGAAGTTTTGGTGCATTTGCAGCATCCAAGCTTTGTAGTCCCAGGATATGTCTTTGCAAGACCATGTATCTGAACTGCAATGTTAGGATCAACTATTCCATCCATTGCTTGTTGTTTAACTAAAATCTCCTCTTCAAGCACATCTTCGTCCTCTGGTGTAATATGCTCTACATGTGGAACTGAACCAATACAGCTACAAATGCTCCCTTCTGTAAAAGTTTAGAAACATGTTTTCCTTACGTTTTTCAAAACACTCATAAGTTTTATTATTGCAATAGAGAAAAATACCTTCCACTTTGTTGCCTTCTTTGCCAGTCCAATAACTAGGTTTTAGAAAGTAGAAGATCGATTTTCTCACACCGGATGCATTGGGGATGATGTTGTCAAAGTAGAGAGCCAATACAAACCAGAAAAAGAACGTTCCCACGAGCCATATGTAGATTTTATTCTGCCAATAAAGACATTTTGGTCAGAGAATGATACACAACTATTAGATCAAATCTATCTCAGGAATTAAAGGTTGACATACAGTTGTAATAATGCAAGTGCTCTCGCCCCCTGCACATATTGCTCTTTCACTCCAACTAATTCCAGAATCTCCGGGAGATGATGTCGCCTCAAGAAGCAGCTGCAGACCCGCAGAAAAGGTATTCGGTGGAAAGAGTGACCAAATCACACGGCTACCAATCGAATATGAGCTCGAATAAGGGAATCCAGTAGCTGTTACAATCTGCAGTTAGAACTAGAATTAGTAAGAGTCCAAGATATGAAGAACCAAAATTTCAGCTACTATGTTAGCAAGAGAGGCCAAACCTGTGTTATAAAACCAACCAGAAACACAAGGAAACCAACAGTTGTTGCCGAAGATGATTTGCTAATGATAGAGGATAGCGCGAATGCTAGGCCAATCTAGCAACACAAGTAAATAGATAACTTAAATGATTATACACAAATATCTTAGAAGAAAGCAGAGTATAGACTTAGAAAATGAAGATTTTTACCATATTAAACTGAAAAAGAAAGAAAAGTAGGAAGACAAGAACAAAACTGTTCTTCAAGAAAAAATCAAACTGGAACATCATTCCAAAGAGGACCAAGAAGAGTGAGGAGACAAAGGTAAGGATTCCTTCCCATAAGAGCCATGACAACCAATATGCAGAATCATAAACACCCATCGTTGTCATTGCCTGTTGAACAACAAAGAAAGAAAAATAATGATCCAATACACACAATGGTAACAAAACCCCATCAGCTACCTGAAGAAAGAACAGAGATTATTATAAAACCTCGCGAAGTTTTAGCTCTTTCTCGGTAACCACAGAACCGAGTTGGAGAACAAAACCAAACATGGAGAAAGCAAGAAAGAACACTGGTCCCATAAGATAAAATGCAGAAGTGGTTACTACACCACCAATCCCCGGACGCGCAAATTCCTTAAATCCAAAACCCCAACTAAACTTTGGATCTGAAAATGAATAAAGAGGACTTATTCCATGTTATAAGAAGCAAGCAGCCACATATAAACTTACACACTGCTACAAAATCTTCCTAACACAAAGATTCAAGAATATGGTATATACCTCCAATTAAAGACCTTGCTATTTCGCGCTCTGCAGCGATTTGAAGAGGAACAAGGAACTTAAACGTAGGATCTTCACGCCGACCACGTTTTTTCTCCGATGAAGAGTTTGTTTGAATTCCATAGCTTATCACTGTAGCATTCTTTTCCACAAAATGCAAAGCTCCTGGTACTTGCAATGGATGTGACATAAACCATGCATCTACTTCCTCAGGCTTTTTAAATGATTGAACCTGAAGGAGACCAAACCACACAAGAAACATAAATACTTAGGATTTTTGTACTTCCCATGAAAATGAAGAGACATAATCATGCCAAAAAAACTCTAACCTTATTGCTCGGAATTGGTCGTCCTGGATTGTTAGCCATAATTGCAGAGACAATGTCAGTCACACGACGGCTCTGGTTCCCACTCCACACGAAGTCAAAACATGGAAGTCTCACGAAAAACTTATCCTCACATGGCGGAATTGGAAGAGAGACTAATGCTTTAGGATCTGTGACATTTCTGTGCGTAGTCGAGGTTAACTCGCTCGCTTTGGTAGATTCCTCGATAGAGAAGATGAGGAGGATGAAGAAGAACGAAGAGAAGAGATGAAGACACGTGGCTGTCTTGTTTCGCCATGAAAGCAGTAGATTCTTCTTGAACAAAGCTGTGAATTGCTGATGAAAAAGCGGCAAGCCTTCTCGCAGAGTCATGATCAGAGGATGAAGAAGAAGATTAGAGGATTTTTATTATTATTATTTTGAAATAAATATAACGTTTATCTTTAATCTAGTAGGTTTTACATAAATTTACTTAGGAAACGCCTATGAAACTCTCATTTATTATAAAGAAAAAAAATAATAATAAAGTAATTTTGTTTATTACTCTTAAAAAAAAAGGTTTCAAAGTTCAGAATTCTTAAAAAGTTTTTTTTCCTATTTTGTCTATGATTTTAATCAGTTAATGGAAACGCGTTTTCTATATTTGTAAATACTCTTTTAACATTTCTTTATATTTCCGTTTCTACATATTAAATTTGAAATGTTTCCAATTAGTATTTATTGACTTGTTGATATTTTTTTGGGAAGACAATCTGTATCCAATCCATCATTACAAAGGGTGATGTATCAATTTTTTTTTTTTGGTAAAATGATGTATCCAGATTGTTGTTACACTGTATACAACCAAATCTTAATACAAATATGTTAAGAGGGTTTTATTGGATTATTATCAAATATGATTTGATAAATTAAAAAAAAATTAAAGGGCTGATTTTTAATCACCCTAAAAAAAATTAGTAGAGAATATTAAAAAGCGGTGTCAGTAAGAAAAACAGAAGAAAAAATTTAAGACTAACGAAGCTTCTTTCTTCTTCATCAATGGCGGATCCTAGTCAAGAAGCCAGTTTCTGGGCGCAGGCAAATGCGTTACTTAGAAAGAACTTAACCTACCAGGTATGTGTGTGTGTTGTACATGTGAATAGTTGAAAAATATGATACGATCGTTATTGGAAAACATGGTTAGAATCTCTTAGACTCGATTATATGTCATTTTTGGGTGCAGAGGAGACACATATGGACGAATGTTAGACTCGTCCTGGTTCCACTACTCCTTTGCTTACTTCTTCTAGGGATTCAACTTTTGCTTGATGCTGTGGTGAATAAGGCCTCTGATTTGACTAACTGCGCAAGTCAAGATGATTTTTCTAGTGGTGATTGTCCCATCCCAAACCCTCCATTGTTGCCTCCACTGTTACAGATTCCAGAACCTGAATCTCGTGCTGTCAGTGGTGGTTTCTTTTCATACGAAGACCTTCCTGACAAGTCGTGTAGAAAAACAGGAACTTGTCCTGTTACTATACTTGTAACTGGGAATAACCATTCCCTTGGTCAAGGTATATGCTTCTTTGATACATTTACTTTATTTTTTTGTGTTGTTGAATTGCTATGTAACTTATCAGTTAAGTGTTTCTACAGCTTTATCTGGGAATATGTTTGGTGGTTCGTTTGCTGTGAATTCCTCTGACCTCTTGTCTAGTTTAGCCTATAATGTCTTGGTACGTTTTGATATTTACTTTCCATCAACAAAGTGCAAACATTAATCTCTATGTCTTAGATTTTTTACTAGAGGGTCATGTGACTTCAGGGTTCAACACTAGCACCAGGCACAAACAATTATGCAGATCCGGGGATTGAGTCTGATATTCCCATCTACAGTATCCAATCTCAGTGCAATCCAAACTCTACATGGCCACTCTCATTCGGAAAAATTCATACAGGTGTTTTTCATACTTCTTGATGTTCAAAGTTTTAGACAGTGAGAAATGTGGTTGTCTTCACTTTGATGATTAACTTAGTGGTTGTGTCTATATTACCTCAGTGGTGAACTGTGTTAAAGGGTTGTCTCTCTGGCGAAATAACTCTGTAGAGGTCAATGATGAGCTTTTCAAGAGTAGTTGGAAGGGAAATCCTGAGCGGATGACAAATGAGATTGCTGCAGGTTTATTTAATTTTCTTCTATATATATATGATAAGTATCAAGCTATGATCTCTTACCGTTGATGTTATTTTGTTGTCTTAGCATATGATCTCTTGAATACGGATAGAAACAACTTTGATGTGACCATCTGGTATAACTCAACATACATTGACGACCCTTCAAGGGCACCTTTGGTTCGAGTTCCTCGCTTGCTCAATCTGGTATGAAATAATACTACTCTCAAGGCATCCTCTTTGTTGAATTTGTAATGTATGCATGCTCTTTTACATGTTTCTTTTTATTGAACCGGTCCAATGTTCACACCGTGCAAAATGCAGGTATCAAATGCTTATCTTAAGTTTCTGAAAGGCCCCAGGACAAGGATATTATTCGAGTTTGTCAAAGAAGTTCCTAAACACCAAACTAAATACCATCTTGATATCGCTTCCTTGCTTGGCCCGCTCTTTTTCACTTGGGTTGTTCTTCTTCTATTCCCCGTAAGTTCTTTTTCGTACAATTGATTACTTAAGGCCATTACAAGTACTAAACTGAACAAAGTATCCACCCCAATTATGTGTTAATTTGTGTGTATATAATTTTGCAGGTGATCTTGACATCATTGGTGTATGAGAAACAAGAGCGTCTAAGAATTATAATGAAAATGCACGGGCTAGGCGATGGTCCATATTGGATGATTTCCTATGCCTATTTTCTTTCTCTATCTATGTTTTATGTCATTTCTTTGGTGATCTTCGGGTCAGTGATAGGACTCAGGTACTTCCGGCTCAATGACTACAGCATCCAGTTCGTTTTCTATTTTATCTTCGTAAATCTGCAAATCTCCTTCGCCTTTTTAGCTTCTTCATATTCTCAAGGTTAAGACTGCAACAGGTACTAACATCACATTTCTTGAATCATCTCTAGAATATGTTAAATTTTAAATACCCCAGTGAAATTTCAAAGGCTTCATGGTTTTTTTTTGGCTTATAATTGTAGTTGTTGCTTACACATTGGTGTTTGCAAGTGGGCTCTTGGGCAGCTTTCTTTTTGGAGAACTGCTTGATTCTCCCTCATTCCCCGGTAAGTTAACAAAATCAATACCTGGAAGAACAATTACACTTGTTTATGTGACCACTTAGTAACTAGTATATATCGACGTTAACAGAAAAAGGGATTCTTGCTTTGGAGATGTATCCCGGCTTTTCCTTATTCCGCGGATTGTATGAGTTCTCGCAATATGCCTTCCGTGGAAGCGGGATGAAGTGGAAAGATCTCAAGGAAAGCGGAATGGATAAACTGTTCTACCTTATGTCTGTGGAGTGGTTTGTGATTCTTATTGTGGCCTACTCTATCGATCTAGTTTCTTCATCCGGGAAAAGTCCTTTCGTTTTCTTGAAGAACCATTTCAAAAAATCATCTTCCCTACCAAGTCCTAGTGTGCAGAAGCAAACCTCTGACAACATTCTCATTGACATGGAAAAAACAGATGTCACTCAGGAGGTATGAAAAAAAAACAAATCTTATTTCTTTCCGTGTTTCTCCAACTTCAAGTAGTTCTGATAATAAATGAAAACAACCAGAGAGAAAAAGTTGAGCAACTGAGGAAAGAAGGGAGCACAGGGCATGCGATTGTGTGTGACAACCTGAAGAAGGTGTACCCCGGTAGCGATGGTAACCCGCCAAAACTAGCAGTAAGAGGGTTATACCTTGACGTTCCTTCAGGGGAATGCTTTGGCATGCTTGGACCTAATGGTGCCGGAAAAACCTCTTTCATCAATATGGTGAGTTTCGCAAAACCACTGTTTTTACACTACATAACGTTTCAGAGTGTCAAATTTTGTAACATTGTTCTGCTGCGCTAGATGACTGGGCTACTGAAACCGACATCTGGAACTGCGTTGGTTCAAGGTTTGGACATATGCAAGGATATGAACAAAGTATACACGAGCATGGGCGTATGCCCGCAGCATGAGTAATTAACACTCTTAACAAGTTTTGCATTTTATTCCTTTATCATACAAATAAGGAACAACTGATGGATTTGTTTTGTTTTTTGATGTCATTCTCTTGGTTTCAGCTTGCTCTGGGAGACGCTAACGGGAAGGGAACATCTTCTCTTTTATGGGAGGCTTAAGAATATCAAGGGCTCTGCTCTAACACAAGTAAGATTTTCACTTGGTAATTTATTTACATGTGTTACTACTCCATATATAAGACTGTGTTAATTGGATATGATACATTTTTTAAGGCTGTGGAAGAGTCTCTCAAAAGCGTCAGCCTTTTCGATGGAGGAGTTGCCGACAAACCTGCTGGAAAATACAGCGGAGGTATGAAAAGGCGGCTTAGTGTAGCCATTTCGCTTATCGGGAACCCAAAGGTACACCTCCGGGTCTCTTTGCTATGTGATTTTGTAAGCAACAACTCAAATTTATTAACGAATCCATGTGTCTGATTTGTTAAAAGGTGGTTTACATGGATGAGCCGAGCACAGGACTTGATCCAGCCTCAAGAAAGAATTTATGGACCGTGATCCAGCGTGCAAAACAAAACACAGCCATAATCCTCACAAGTATCTTTCAATCTCTTTCTCATTACTCACTCTTCTACATGTGAATCTGATAGATACCATGAAACTGAACCTATTACTCTTAGTTAAGACTCATTTTGTTCAAAAGAGTTTTTAAGGCAATAAGAAAGTGATGGATATTTTAACCTAGAGAAGCTTGTCCCTCACGTTTTCAGCTCACTCGATGGAAGAAGCAGAGTTTCTTTGCGACCGATTGGGGATTTTTGTAGACGGAGGCTTGCAATGTGTAGGAAATCCGAAAGAGTTAAAGGGAAGGTATGGGGGATCATATGTCTTCACGATGACGAGCTCAATTGAACACGAGGAGAAAGTAGAGAGAATGGTTCGACACATTTCACCAAACGCCAAGAGAGTATATCATTTAGCGGGAACACAGAAATTCGAGATCCCTAAGCAAGAAGTCATGATTGCAGATGTGTTTTTGATGGTGGAGAAGGCCAAAAGAAAATTCACAGTTTTCGCTTGGGGACTCGCAGACACAACCCTGGAAGACGTCTTCTTCAAGGTTGCTACAACTGCTCAAGCCTTCAACTCTTTGTCTTAATGATTCACCCTACATAGGGAATCACTGTTGTTATATTATTATTCAAGTTAGGTCTTTTTATGGACAAATTTAATGCCTTCAGAGACACGTTAACTGCAATAGACTTCTAATCAATGTTTTGAAACATGTACCAATCCGACAGGTCGGACCAATGATCCGGTACTGTTGGATCTTAAACACATTTCTTCTATTTAATAACAGCAATGAGATGAGTAAGAGAAACACTCTAAAGCTCATCACCGTTGGTGACTCTAGAGCCAGAGCCAGTAACTAAAGACCTCGTCATGTTCTTTATATGCTCTTGATCGATCCCAAAAACTCCTCCAATATTCACGACTCCAGGATTTTGGCTATTGTAGAACGAGAAAGCGGTGGCTCGTTCGAAACCACCGCTCAAGCAGAAATGAAGCAATCCTTTGGGGAAGACAAAAACATCGCCTTTTCGCAGAACTGTTTGAAAAATCTTGTTGTTAGTATCCACAAATCCAGCAAACACGACTCCTTTGACCACAAAGAGAAGCTCGGATGACCTCGGATGCGAATGGAACGGCACAGATCCGTCCCTTTCAAGATCAGTCCTTGAGACGGAGAGGCCAAGAGTGTTGAGACCTGGAAACCCTGATGCAGTGAGCAATGTGACGCTCGACTGGAGATAATTGTCTGTGTCTCCAGCTACTGTAAGTTTGGTGGACTTGAAATCCTGAGCGTTAATCTGGGTCGGGTTCTTGCAAGGATAGCCGTTGATGAAGAAAATGCTCTGTTCTCCCGGAGCAGTCGGACATGTGTCCTGCATATTGTCCGAATCCGCAGAGACATATAAGAAGTTTGCATAAAACACGATCACGACGAAGAAATTCATCGTAGTGAATTGTGATGAAGAGTACTTAACTTGTAATTAATCAGATATAAATAGAAATTAAAGGAAAACCACAAAGAAAAACTCTGTTTCTAGGCGATGTGGCTTAGAGTTGAGTACACTACTTAGTGGCCTTTTGAGTAAGATTATGCTCTAAGATGAAAATCGCTTCTAAGTAATATTTTTCACTGATTTTCCAACTTATTGATGTTGACATTATTACTTCTTCAAGCTCTAATTCTATTTTGTTTACCTGAGAACGCAATTTTGCTTTGCTATAACAGGAAACCAAAAAGAAGCTTAACTGGCTTTAGCTTAATTCCATGAAACTTTCTATATTTTCCTCTAATGAGAAAGTACAATGGTTTGGTTAACGAAATTATACAATTGAAAGGGACAAACGTTTATGTCCAAAACCAATTAATCCAACTAAGGAAAAACTTGGAGATTATTTGAAATGGAGCCGGGAAGAACGACGTTTCTCTAGCGCCCGTTCTCAAGTAGGGAAGTATCGGTTTCATCGCGCTTGTCTACGCTCTGAAGAATATCTTTGATGAACTTTATGAAAGAGCAGAGTCCACCCAAGAAATTATGGTCGATGACACCGTTTCCGTCAAGAACATGCGCGAAATCCACCAGCTTTACTTCTGCACGTGCCTCCGGTGCATCATCTCCTTCTTTCATCAAGATCGATTCATTCTCGTAAATCATCAGAATTGAGCAAGAATTGAAATGGTAAAGCGTTTGGATTTCGAACCAATCTTTAAGCTCCAACAACTGCGCTAAGATCCCATTAGAACCGCCATAAACCTCTGATGCAAAAGCACAGTTTGGAGTCAAGTTAGAGTCAGCGGGCGAGTTCGATGACACAAACTTCCGCAGAGCCAATCTAGCGCCATCTGCATTGTACCCAAGAACAAGCTTCTTCTCAGCTCTCCAGAAACTTGATTCTTGGTGGTCAAAAATCTTAAAACCCGAAACCCTGAACCCCAACGAAACCGTGGTGGTCTGTCTATCTTTCTTAATACATTTCTTGAAGTATTCTTCGGATACATCCAGGTACCATGTCCTAGATCCAATCTTAACATCCATTACCGACGGATTTGAGTACACAGAAACAACATCATCAAGAACAAGATGAGGAAGCTTGCCAGATCCATCAGATGCTTCAACTAGCTGAGTGCCGTGACACACCGGGAAGTATCTACGGATGTGATATGGAACCTTCTTGTTCGATGTGAAAGACTCATAGAACTTAGCCTCATGTTCGCCACGAGAATCTCCCTGAAGTGGCTTGAAGAATCGGCCTTGGTCATCTACGAGTGGACCTAGCTTCCCATCACTAGCAATGTGACCAGCAACTTGGTGTTCAGGGACCTTGAGCATCTTCTTTGTGCAAGAGTATATACGATGATGAATCTGAAGAACAAGAAATCAAATTCACCGTTAAGAAAATTTCCCAAAACAAGAAAAAAAAAAACTGAAACTTTCTTAATCAACCATTTATAGATCATTGATCTTAGGTCAAAGTTTCATCCTTTAATTTCCAAGAGATTACTCAAAATCAACCAAACGCAAAATCTAAAAAATGTTGTCTTTCTTATGAATCAAATTAGTGTTCTTCAATTCTCTCCACATAACAAAGAAAAAAAAAACAATCACGTCTATCAGAATTCTTGAGTTCATCGCCGAAGAAGAATCATAAAAGCGCGAAATAAGACAAACCCAGAATCACAACATGAAAATAAACAATTTGAGATCTCTAAAATCGTACAAAAAGTGAAAAATCTTTAGATTAGAATAAACATTGAATGGAACTTTAGAGAAGTAACGATTTCTGGTGATAATACATAAAAATTGAATTGGAGCAAACACGAAGAAATTTGCACATAGGTAAGAGATTATTGATCAAAGAAATTATCAACATTCAAGAAGAAATTTATTACCAAACAAATCTCCCCGGAGAAATTTTGATGCTCAAACGATAGCAAAAGAAGTGTATTTGTTCTATGCCAAAAAAAATCCTAAGCAGCCTTGTCGGGAAGACGAATATAAAAAATAAAAATAATTAAATAATAATTGAATAAGTTCTTTTTGGAAAAAGATCAAATTACTAAACCGGACTCGTATGAACCGGATTTCAGAGATAACCGGTTTTGAGTATATAGGGCTTTTCCATCTGTCTTTACAAAAAACAGCCGTCATCTCCTACTACCGCAGGCTCTATAACTCCGGCCGGCGAAATTAGGGTTTTTGGTAATAATCTCTAATTCGAGTGTACCACTCTCTCTTCTTGAATCATCCATGGTTTTTGGTGTATATCTGTAAAAACCCTAATTTAGAGCTCATTCTCTGTTACGATTCTCTCTCAAGGGTTTTTAAGAGAAACCTTATGCTGTAAAAACCCTAATTTAGAGCTCATTCTCTGTTACGATTCCTCAAATACATAAATGTTTCGTCTTTGTATTCACCAATCCAAATTTTTCTTCTTTTCAGAATCTGTAGCTGTTTGGTGAGATAAGCATAAATGGGTCGTTTCAAAAACGTAAGTTTCTCTACGAAATCATGTTATCTCTTTTGTTTTTCAGTAATATGTAATTTACTGGTTTTAACAACACTTGTGATTGATATAGAATAAGAAGAGTAGGGTCATTGTGAAGCCTATTCCAAAGAAAAATCAAGAGGATGTTAGTCATGTCACTGGGGATAAGATTCCCAAGAGTTTTGTGTTTTCGAGAATGAAACTTCCTGGCCCTGTTAAACAACTTCAGATGGATTTGAGGAAGCTCATGCTTCCCTACACTGCTCTCAGTCTTAAGGTCTGTTTTAAAAGCTCTTATTCAGTTATAGTTAGTTTCATTGTTTGATAAGTTGTACTATTGAAAAGTGTGTTATGTTTCGAGGGTTGTGATTTTGATTATTTCTAATGCTAGTTGTTCCATTTTGTTCATCATCTTCTTTGCAGGAGAAGAAGCGGAACACTTTGAGGGACTTTTTGAATGTATCAGGTCCAATGGGTGTTACACATTTCCTTATGCTTTCGAAAACAGCGTCTTCACTGTCTCTAAGAGTAGCAAGAACTCCGCAGGGCCCGACTCTTACCTTTAAAATTCATCAGTATTCCCTAGCATCAGATATAGCTCAGTCTCAGCTTCGACCTAGATGTCCCCAAGATCTTTTCAAGAGTCCTCCTTTGGTAATTAATCTCACTTCTCTCTTACACCGTATATGGTTTTGTAATTTGTTGGTTTTGCTAACACCTGAGTGTGTTAATTTTCTCTTGGTTTAGATTGTTCTTTCTGGATTCGGTTCTCAGGAGTTGCATCTGAAACTAGCAACGATTATGTTTCAGAACATATTCCCAGCTATTGATATTAACACTGTAAGTTTATTGCCTAGAACTGATTATATACTGTGTTTTTTTATTGTAACTTGTTTCAGCAATTTGATTTTGTTCTTCTGATGGTGAAATATATCAGGTCAAGCTCTCCACCTGCCAGAGATTAGTACTCTTGAACTACAACAAAGATACAAAGCTCATTGATTTCCGGCATTATTCTATAAGACTTCAGCCTGTTGGAGTATCTCGTAGGATCAGAAAGTTTGTGCAAAATCATCAGGTTCCCGATCTTAGGAATCTGCAGGATGTTAGTGATTTTGTCACCAAGTAAGGATCTACATTTGGTTCAGTCTGTTTGTTATTTACCCCTCTGTATCGATGTGGATGGATTAATGTGACATTTCTTCTTTCTTTTTTGTTGTGTCCCTCTTTTCCAGGGCTGGTTATGGATCAGAGAGCGAAGGAGATGAAGAAGCGGCAACCGTGACACTATCATCTGATCTAGGCCGAGTTAACAAAGGGTCCACCAAGAGCGCTGTGAAGCTGCAAGAAATTGGACCAAGAATGACTATGCAACTCGTTAAAGTGGAGGAAGGATTGTGTACAGGAGGAATCATATTCAGTGAATATGGTAAAATGTTAATCCTTATTTCCTTACATTGTGGTTTATATCACGTCTATTACAGGACAAAACATCTGATTTCGGTTTTGTTTCAGAAAATGTGGATGGAAAGAAAGAAAAGTTAAAGAAGAAACAGGATGAAGAAGGTGCTGAAGAAGAAGAAGAAGAAGAAGAAGATAGTGAGGAAGAAGGTGAAGAGGGTAGTGAAGAAGATGGGGAAGACATGGATGAAGATTTTGAAGA